GTAATGTTTCGAGGCGGCTCTGATCTCGACGACGCTGAGACGAGGAAGAGGCTCCAGGATAACCCCCGAAGGCACGGCCCCCAAACCCTGGCCCCACGCAGCACTAAAGCGAGCACCTTCAGCCCGCAACAAAGAGAGGGGGTCAGACACGGTGCAACCTTTGGCGCTAAGCGTGGTGGTCGGGGTCCACGGGGAGGGATCTCGGGTGATCTGATGGACTCGCCGCGAGCCCGAAGAGACGCCGACGTGCAGCCAGGCAGACCAGTCCTCACGGGCCTGCTTGGCGAAGAACTTGTTGGCGGCCTCGAGTTCATCTTTTAACTCAAGCTCAAACTCCTCAATGTCTTCAATCGTCTGGTCGGAGGCGCCAGCAATGCGAGCAGCACGAAAAAAAATTTGGGTCCTGGAGCCCATGTGCTGCGCGATGAGCGACGGCGGCTGGCAAAGCAAGAGGCCCAGCTTATCCGACAAACGGAGGTCGCCTGCACGGCGAGCAAGAACTAAGGCATGCCACTGAGCCGCCAGCCAACGAATAGCTCGGTGCTCTGGGTACTTGCTGCGGCCGTCGGCAGTGAGGAGTGAGCGCCAGACCAACTGAGGCCCCGACCCACGACAGCCCTTCTTGAGCAGCTCGGCCCCAAGAATCGGCACGAGGTCGGACTCGGCTCGGTCCGCCCACGCCTGGTACAACGGACCCAAGAGCTTGTGGGCCCCCCAGAAATCCTGTTTTTTAACCTTGTCCAGGGCCGCATTGGCCAGATCCAGCTCACGGGCCCAGGAGGAACCTTGGGGCCGAGGTCCGAACACCGCCTCCACAGGCAGCGGGGGGGGCTTCCGAAACGACAAAGCCTGCAAAACGGCAAGCTGAGGAAAGAAGATCAAATTGACAGGTCGGTGGGGGGTCAAGGACGTAGAGAAATCGACGGAGCACTCTCTCACACCTTTGGCCAGCCCCCCCGAGCAAATAAAATAATCTAAGACAGAAGGCTTCCCCGACGGGAAATGCGTGCACGAGGCTGGAACCACCAGAACACCTCGCAATTTACTGACAAACTCGGTATCTTCCAGAAGAGGTGGCTCGAAGTTGTGGTCAGCTCCGGCAACGAATGGCAAATCACAACTGGAGAGGAAGAGACCGAGACGAGACAGGATACCAAGATTGCGATCCGAAAGCTCTTCAGTGTGGTAGAGGTAGGACGAAACAACAACGATGGGGGAGGTGCCTGGAAGGTGCATGGAGCCAGCAAGACACCTGCCTGGAACAATCTCACCTCCTTCCATACCTTGAAGTCCTATCCAATCCTTAGCAAAAATGGCGACCCCCGCCGAGGTGTCGGCCTCGGTCTTCTCAGCCTCGGACCAGAGGGACTTCCAGCCCCTCTTGATACACCGCGCGTTGGCCGCCTGCACATCTTCCCCTCTCAAGCGGTGCTCCTGACAAAGGACAATATGGGCGTGTGAGAGGCTTTCCAAAAGGCCGCGCATGGTGCCCCATGAGTTGCAGTTGATGGTCTTGATACAAAGCTCAACACTGTTGGGATCAGGTCTCGCACCTCCATCCTTGGCAGGAGCTTGCTTGGGAGAGGAAACAGACTGCACGGGCTGCCGTGGGGCGTCGGTGCCGACGCCCGCGTTCTGAGACCTTAAAACAAGCGATCCTGGCAAAGGTTGGGGACGGGCAGGCTGGCGAACCAGAGAGGGAGGGCTGACCTTCGCCAGCTCCGATCCAAGCTCAGCCTGACCAGAGACGTGCAATCCTCGCTCATGGAGAAGGGACTCGAATCTATCGTCCACATCGGCCAAAGGAAGCTGAACCACAGTGACCGAATGGACACTCTTGCCTACGCCTGCACCGAGCTGAGCAACTGGGTAAAGCAGGGAAGGCCGAGAGAAATCGCAGGCAGCGCGCGTGCGCGTCTTGCCTGGCCTGGCGTCCAGCTGTAACGACGAGGACGGCGACACGACCGCATCGGCACGAGCAAGCAGCGACGAACGTCGCGACCGAACCGATCTATCCTTCGTCTGGACACCAGGACTTCTTAGAAAGCGTGGGAGGCCCCTCCTGCGCCAAAGATCAACACGAGCCAGATGCAGACAGTCAGCGACTATAACATCAGCTGGCCCAGACATTGGCGGCCAGGCAGGACATGAAAGATTGCGAAAGTGCTGCAGGGGTCCCCCCTGAAGGCTGGCAAGCTGGCAGATCAGAAGCGGAACTTCATGACTCCATGGGCGTTGCTCCTCCAGGGGGGGCGGCCTGAGACTGTATCTGGGCGATCCTGTCCGCGCGCTGGCGAAGGCCTGCTGCAGAGGCGGCGCCGTCAGCGTCCGCAGCAGCCGCGGCGGCGCCAGGTGCCGCCGCGGCGGGCCCGCTGGCCGCGGCTGCAGCAGCGGACGCGCTGGCTGCAGGGGCAGCACCTCCATCGCCTCCAGCAGGTGCTGCGTTGCCCTTGCCAGGGCCGACGACAGGACCCGAAGCGGCAGGGACCGCGACAGCAGCACCAGCGTTGGTCTTCCGCTTCTTCTCGTTCTCGTCTTTGAGGCGCTGCAGGTGGGCTTGGTGTTCCACCTTGATGGCCTCCACCTTGGACTTCGACTCTTTGAACAGGTTGGCGGCCATGGCGGTGATGCCCTCGCGAAGCTGCGTCGCCCTGCTCTGCAGCTCCTGCTTGTCCGACTCGCTAAGCTCGAACTCCAGCTCGCCCATATGGAAGAGCGACTCTGCAGACAAGTCCAGCCAAGCCTCCAACTTGGTGTCGTCCAGCATGTCGTCGATGGTGAGCTTGGCCCTCTCAGCGGACGGCCCGTCGACGTATTCCGAGTGCAGGCGGTGGAAGAGGGCGCTGTGCTGCTTCTCGGCGGCCGCCAGCTCCTCACGCAAGGATAGCACATGGGACTTCTGAGCCTCCAACTGCTCCTCGATCGACTCGAACTTGAGGACGGCCGCCTCCAGCTTCTTCTCGACCGAGCGAGCGTGACCATGCGCACGAGAGAGCTGGACCTGAAGGGGCTCGTGATGCTGAGGGCGGGGCGCCAGAGCCTGAGCCGCAACGCGAGCCCTCTTAGCCCCTTCCAAGTCACCGAGCTTCTCGCAGAAAGTGGCCATCTGCTGGTACTCTTCCATGGACAGCTTGGGCTCCGACAAAGGGGTCTGGCCAGCAGGTTTGCCTCCCTTGGCAACTGGGTCGACGTAGCCGAAACTGTGGCCCTTGCCTCCCTTGATGTCCCCAGGAGGCTGCGCCAGACTCTTGCCGTAGCCGCCCTGCCAGACTGAGTTGGGCGGCAACCTCGTGGAGCCGCAGTGCTTGCACCAGGTGAAGTAGCTGGCGTTGCGCTTGCAGCCGCAGACCTCGCATGTCCAGCGTCCCCTGCCAGCAGCCGAAGGAGGAGCAGGCAGCTGAGGACCTGGAACGAGCGGAGGCCACTGTACGAGGTTGGCACGGTCCTGGGCCCACGGCTTGCCTTTGGCGCCGCCGTCGACATGCCCAGGCGAACCCTTACATCCTTTCGACATGGCGGAAGCGCAGCCGTGTCGCGCAACTGAAATGGAGTGCCCACGCTGGTGTGGCCAGCTGGGCGAAGACAAAGAGCCAATTTGGCCCGCAACAGCACTGGCCGTTTCGAAGGAGTATGCTGCTGCAAGCTCGAGCTTCACACAAATCAGCTCGAGCCGAAACGGCTAAACAAGATTGGCTTTTGTCTGACTGTCAGGCATACGAATGTAGCAGGCCGTCGCGCGTCTTACCTATATAATCGATCGCTGCAACGCTGGGTTATATTGTGCCAGCGTGACGTCGTGACGCCTGTCATGCCTGTGCAACCCTGGAATAGTTGTATCGATATGCCTTGCCGTGTGTGTGTGGGGGGGCTGTCGCTTCTGAGACGGTCTATGCTGCGCTTGGTTATCCTCGGGCCAACAGGATCTCGTGACACCTGCCATGTTAGATGAGTCGTGGCATGCTTGCACAAAGTCTCATAATATGCTGCCTGACTGCGACGCCCATCGTTTCTGTGTGCTCTACATGCATTGTTTACTGATGCGCCTTACCACGCCGTCTGCCACTTCGTGTGTCCTCATGTGCGGTCATGAGCTATGTTTGCGGCTGTCTCAAGTGTAAGGGATGCGTGTGGTGACTAAGTGTGCTGCGTGGGCATGTGCCCTTGATGCACGTCCTTCACGCATACCACGTAGGCATGAGGTATACATATCTGACGCATGCTTGCCAACTGTGTGCGCATACGTCACCCATGTATCGTATGGATGTTATGCTCTGTGAGCGTGTTATGTACATGCGCTTTTCGCTATGCGTGTCTGCTACTTCCTGGGTTACTACAAACCGACACCTGCCAGGCGGAGAACACGCCCTGGAGCACGGTCCTCCTAAGCAGAGCCCCGCGCAACCAAACCTGCAAGGGGGCCGTGGGCCCAGAGATCTCACGATGTCGTACCCAAGACCCGTTATTCACATGGGCCGTTCTCTTGGTGAACGTTTTCTCATTCGGCGTTTCGACATTGGGCGGAAGGGGGGGGGGGGGGCGGTCTGGCCCCGGACCTCTGCTTGACGCGACTGCTTGCAGCAGTGCGCTCCATGGGGGGAGCCGCCACCTGCGCGAAACAGGCGCCCCCCAACGGCCAAGACCTGCTCCACGGGGTGGGGGATGGGGGTGCGAGGGCCCGCGCCGATCGGCAAAACGACGAATACGAGAACGACGAATGCTGGCCACTGGGGCCCGAAGCGGGCCCCCGGTGGCCCAGCGAGGAAGCTCCGTGTGCCGCGGCTCCGTCGCGCCCGTGGGGGGCCTCGGGGCCCTCCTCGGGGGTCCGCCCCCCGGGACCTGCCCGAGGCCGCGGCCGCGGGCGAGATGGCGAGGCGGATGCGGGCGCAGCCGCGCGAACGCTCCCGACAGGGCCATAGCAATGAACGGCCACACGCGCTGGAAAACCTGGTCCCCGCGTGCTCCCTCCTCCCCCTGCCTCTCCGGGCGGGGGGGGGCCCTGCCTCCAGGTCGACGAGGAACTTCTCGTCTGCGGAGAGCGCCTGTATCCGCGTCTCCGTTTTTTTGTTGTGTTCTCTCTCTCTCTCTCTCTTTTTCCCCCTTTCTGCCCCGCTTGCCTTGTCTTTGTTTGTGTTGTTCTCTCTCTCTCTCTCTCTCCCTCTCTCTCTCTCTCCCTCTCTGACTCGCTCTCTCCCTCTCCCTGTCCCTCTCTCTGATCTCGCTATTTCTCACGACCTCTCGCGTTCACACGCGCACGCTCTCTGTCTGTCGCTCTCTCGCTCTCTCCTTCCCTCTGTGCAAGGGTCTATGCGTCGAAGGCGAAGGGGTGAAATCGCAGTAAAACGGAGCGCCCCCACGAGGAAATCGGTTTCAGTTTCGCGTTCGTGTCGCGCGTGCGAGCCGAAGCTGCGTGGGCGGGCGGAAGGAATGGACTCTCCTTTGGCTAGGGCGCCGCCGGGCCAAAAGACCGCCCCCGCCCTGGGTTGTCCAGCGGTGGCTGGGGGTGACACGTGATATAGATAGCGGAGAGAGCGCGTTTCACGGGCGCTTGCCTTGGGAACATTCGGCGGAGTGTTTCGGACCGGGGTGGGCTCCCAACCCAACATTCGGCGCCGTCGATCAGAACCAGGGCGACCCCCCTCCTCCCTAACCCTCCCCCTCCCCAACCCCCCCCCTCCTTCCAGTGGGGGTGTTAAACCTCCTGGCACCGGCGCCGGCGCTGGCGGCGGCCAGCCGTGCCGACGGCAGACGCAGCGACGATGACCAGAGAGGGTCCAGGGGGGGGGTCCAAACCCCCCCCCCCCAGCCCTCGGCGCCGGCGCCTGCGCTGGCGGCGGCCAGCAGCGCCGACGGCGGAAACGCAGCGACGATGACCAGAGAGGGCCCAGAGGCCGCAGAGGGGGAACACAAATCGCCACACACACCACCGCGACAACCACCACCACCACCACCAACCACCACACCACCACCGCCACCACTGCCACAACCACCACCACCACCACAGCCCACCACCACCACCACCACCACCACCACCTGACCCAAAGCCAAAACACGGTGGCGGGAAGACCCGAAGGTCTCACCACCACCACCACCACCACCACCACACACCACCACACCACCACCACCACCGCCACCACAATCACCACCACAACCAGCATAACCCACCACCACCACAACCACAACCATCACCACAAACAAACACACCACAACCACCACCACCACTAAAAACGCCACCACCACCACCACAATCCAACACAACCCACCACAACCACCACGACCACCACACCACTACCACCACCATCATCACAACCACCGCCACCACCACCACCACGATAACCCACAACCACCACCACCACGACCACCACAAACCACCACCACACCACCACCACCATCACCACCACCACCACCACCACCACCACCACCACCACCACCACCACCCACCACGCACCACCACCACCAGCACCACAACCATTAGCGCCACCACCACCACCAGCAACATCACAGCCCACCACCACCACCACCACAAACCACCACGCCTCCACCACCACCGAAGGGCCACCACCACTACCACCACCTTCACCTCAAACCACTACACCACCCCCACAACCAGCACAACCCACCACCACCACAAACCACCACACCACTACCACCACCACAATCACCACCACCGCCACCACCACCCCACACCACCACCACCACCACCACCACCACCACCACCACCACCACAACCCACCACACCACCACCACCACCACCACAGCCACAGCCATTACCGCCACCACCACCACCCACCACCCACCACACCACCACAGCCCAGCACCACCACCACCACCACTTCAGAGAGGCCGCAAGAGACCTCCAAGAGGCGCCCAGGAGGCTTCACAAATGCCCTTCAGAGGCCCCCGAGAGCCCTCCGACGAGACCCCAAGAGGCATCCATTAGGACTCTGACTCAAAACCAAGGCACGGTGGCGGAGCGTCGTCGTCGTCGTCGTCGTCGTCATCGTTGTCACCGTCGTCCTCGTCGACGCTCCCCGCCGCCGCCGCCAGCCGCCGCAAACGCTGGCGCCGGCCAAGAAAAGGAAGTCGTCGTCTTCATCGACGCTCCCCGCCGCCGCCACCAGCCGCCGCCGACGCCAGCGCCGGCCCGAAGAGAGGGACTGAGGAAAAGTAACGGGGGGGTTCGAACCCCCCCTCTTCAAACAAGGGGGGGGTCCAGTTCCGAGCCACGACCCCCCTCCAAGCGTCCACAGAACGCGCTTTTTCAGATAGCGAGATCGTTTGGTGAGGTCCGTTCCTTTTTCCTGTACGGTCAGGGCCCATGCGCCCTGCTCACCCGAGGGCTGGCCGTATAGGTAGATCATGCAGACACCAAATACGGATGATGATACATTCCCCGGACGGTGCTGGCGGCGGAGGCGGAGGCGGCGGCGGAGGCGGAGGCTGCGGAGGCCGAGGCGGAGGCGGCGGAAGCGGGGAGGAGGAGGATGAGGAGGCGGGGGAGGGGGAGGGGGAGGGGGATGGGGGATGGGGGAGGGGGAGGGGGAGGGGGAGGAGGGGGAGGGGGAGAGGGACAAGCTAGGTGCGCTCGCGTCATATCTGACGTCCTACCCCTCCCTCCCATCCCTTACCATGGCGCTGATTTTCTCTATCCGCGGACGCGTGTCGTAGCGGACCTGTGGCTCCGCGCGCGCGTGCGTAGTGGGTGGTGGTGCACGTGCGTGCGTGCGTGCGTGTGTGCGTGGTTGTGGTGGTGGTGGTGGTGGTGGTGGGTGGTGGTGGTGGTGGTGGTGGTGGTGGTGGTGGTGGTGGGTGGTGGTGGTGGTGGTGATGGTGGTGGTGGTGGTGCTGGTGGTGGTGGTGGTGCTGCTGGTGGTGGTGGTGTTGGTACTGGTGCTGTGTGGTGGTGGTGGTGGTGGTGGTGGTGGTGGTGGTGGTGGTGGTGGTGGTGGTGGTGGCGGTGCGGCGCGGTGGTGGCGGGCGGATGGGCGCGCGAGAAAAAGGCCCGCGCTGGGGCGAGAACGCCATCCTGAACGACGAAGGCCAAACACCGATCCGAAAATGAGGCCCACGCTGCAGCGGGAGCACGATTCGGAACGATTCGCGAGCAGAAATGAGGCCGGCGCCTCAACGAGAGCAGCATATTGGGAAAAAATGACGCCGGCGCCTCAGCGAGAGTCGTTTCCCGGGATTTCCCGGGCATCCTGTGTGTAAAAAAACAGTACGCGGAGGGTCCGCGGCCATCACCCGGACGCCATCAGGGGAAGAGGGAGAGTATTTTCATATTGAGTAATTGTGGAGGAGGAGGAGGAGGAAAAGACGGCGGAGGAGGCGGCGGAGGAGGGGGAGGAGGCGGACTGCATTCTGAGGCTCGCTCCTGCGATTGTTCTCGAGCGGACGGGTGTCGGGTTTTTTGGGGGCGGGGCTCCGCATGCGGAGGGTGCCGCGAGGGGCTTCGGTTGAGCACCCCATGGGACCACGAAGCGTGCGCGGGTGTGTGCCGGAAGGGGCGGGACCCTGGAAGGAGCTCCTTGTGGGGCCAGGGAACGCGTGGGAGGTGTGCCGAGATGGGCGGAAGTCCGCACGTGGCCCGTGCCGCTGAGACCTTCGGTTGAGCTCGCTGCGGGGCTCCTCACGAGGCCACGAAGAGTGTGAGATGTATGCCAAGATGGGCCGTGGTCCGCCTGCGGACGGTGCCAATGAAAGCGAACGTGCCCCCTGTGGGGCCACCGAACTTGCCAGGGGTCATGCCGAGATGGGCGGGGGTCCGCACGTGGACGGTGCCGCGGGGGCCACCGGTGGCGCCCTGTGGCGCCGTGAAGCGTGTGAGGGGCGTGCCGAGCTCGGCAGGGGACCGCCTGGAGACGGTGCCTCTGGGACCTTCGGTGGAGCGCACGGTAGGGTCGTGAGGGGCGTGCCGCAATCGGCAGGGGCCCGCATGTGGACGGTGCCGCTGGAACCCTGGGAGGAGCTCCCCACGGAGCCACGTCGTGCTTGAGGGGCGTGCTGAAATGGGCGGGGGTTCACATGTGGGGAGTGCCATTGGAATCTTGGGAGGGGCCCCCCTATGGGGCCACGAAACGTGTGAGGGGTGTGCCGAAATGGGCGGTGGTCCGCATGTGGACGGTGAGGCAGAGGCAGAGGCAGGAATGGGAGGAGGGAGCAGGGGGGGGAAGGAGGAAGGAGGAGCAGTGACGCGGGGCGCTCTCTCCTCAAAACGAGGACCCAACACCACAGGATGGTTGCGAAAAACCGGAAAGGAGATCAAAAGTGCGGCAAACACCCGTCGCTCTGTGGGCCGTCCCTCCACAGGAGCGCCAGCATGGCCAACAGTCCTGCCGATGACCCCCCGGGGGCTCGCATGCCCTGCGATGACACCCCAAGTAGCGTGGCAAACAGCTTCCTCGCTCCCCCTCCCCACCACAGCGCACGCAAGCGCCAGCACGGCCAACACCCTTTCCCGTGCCGCTGCCGCCGCCCAAAAGACCCCCGAGGGTCCAGACACGTCCAACTGAAACTCCTTCAGGGAGACCCCGCAACGCAACCGTTTGGAGCCTCCCACCTAAAACTTCATCCACTTACAGCGTCCTCTCAGAGTCACCCTTCCAGGGAGCTTGGTGTGCCCATCGGCCATGTGAGCGTTTTCTTATTCGGCGCTTCGACGTTGGGCTGAAGATGGGGGGGAGGGGGGTGTGTCTGGCTCTGGACCTTTGTTTAGTGCGACTGTTTGCAACAGGGCGTCGATTATGGGGGAGGTTCCACCTGCTCGAAACAGGCGCCATAAAACAGCCAAGATCTACTCCATGGGGGGGAGGGGGGGGTGCGAGGGCCCGCGCCGATCGGCAAAACAACAAACAAAAAAAATATCCCCATGCAGGGTGGAGAGGAGATGTCGGTTCGCTCGCCCTCCGGGGTGAGCATCCAGTGGTTCCCCTATCTTCTGGGGAAGGCGTGCCGTGCTGCAGGGCGGCCGCAGGCGCCCCGGGAGGAGGGCCCCGGAAGAGCCCCCAGGGGAGCCCCGGGATCCCTCGGAGCCGCACCCCCCGTGGGGCCTCCTCCGCACGCCGTGGGGGTGGCTCGGGTCGCACCGCGGGCCCTCCGTGGGGGCTCTCCGGGGGGGGCCTCTCGGACGTCTCTCGGGATCCTCTTCTCGCCATCGCTCGGACGTCCATTCCCTGTGTTTTTTTCGGTATCGTGCGTGATATTTTTCGCCAAATGATCAAGGATGCTCCTCGATGGTCCTCGCCGAAGGAAAAATGCACACGTCCGAGCGATGCCAAGTCTTTGGCTCGATCCGGGAGCCCCAGCGGGGTGTTCAACTGCACACCTGTCCGTGGGCCTCCATGGGCCCCCGACGGCGACTCCTCCTCCGATCTCTGTGGTGCCCGAGAAAAGAGCCCTGCAGCTGGCCCCATCCCAAAGATCTGACAGTGAACGCCGCGGTTCGTCGGCAACTCGTGGGAGCCTCCCATACCATCTTGTCGGCTCTTGCGAATCGACGCGAATCGATGCTAACTGAACGCTCATCGACGCTAAATCGACGCTACCCGACGCTAAATCGGCGCTATCGCATCGACTCCAAGATGCTAATCGATGCTAGTCGACGCTGAAGACGGAATTAAGAGGGCACCACGGTTTCATGCCATGTGGACCCCGGCGCTGGTTCCTAACACCGCGGGGATCATTCATTTTTGAACGATCGCGAAATATCAGTTCAGAAAATCGACCGAGATTCTGGGTGTGGCGTTCAACGTTGAAGGCCAGCGGCGCGGTCGCTGCCGGCCGACACGACGCGAACCTGCCGCACCAGGCTCCGGAGGTCCTTCGAGGAGGAGTTGAAGGAGGAGGAGGAGGAGGAGAAGGAAAAGGACGAGGACGCGGACGAGGACGAGGTGCTTCTCCTCCTCCTCCTCCTCCTCCAACTCCTCCTCCTCCTCCTCCTCCTCCTCCTCCTCCTCCTCCTCCTCCTCCTCCTCCAACTCCTCCTCCTCCTCCTCCTCCTCCTCCTCCTCCTCCTCCTCCTCCTCCTCCTCCTACCCTCCCCCTCCCCCTCCCCCTCCTCTGGCCCCCTAACCACGTCGGCGCTGCGCTCCCCCGGCGCGCGGAGTGAGAGGGCGGCCAGCACTGCCTCGCCCGTGCTGACGACGTCCTCCTTGGCCTGCTCGCCGCGCCGAGCCGGGGCGAGCGCGGGTGCTGCCAGGGTCGGGGGGGGGAAGAATTCCACCAGCCCCCTGGGCGTAATTAGGTGACCTAGGGCGGTTTCCCTTCCAACCCCCTTCTTCCCCTTCGGGGAGGGGTTTACCCCTCCCCCTGGTTACCCCCTTGCCTGGACCTGGACGGGCGGTGCCGCGACCCATTGGAGCGTCCAAGATGGCCCAAGATGGCTCCAAGAAGGCCTCGGAGAGCCTCTCAGGGTCCAGGGGAGGGGGCAGGGGAGAGGGGAAACCCCTCCCCGAAGGGGAAGACGGGGGTGTGGAAGAGGAGACTCCCTGAACCACCTGCGCCTAGAGGGCTGGTGGGATTAGGAGACCGAGCTGTGGCCCAAACCATGGTGGAATCAATGACTGTGCCCTCCTCGTCGAGGCCATCCCGTTCGGGGGGGGGCGACAATTTGTTTTGCAACGTTTTCTTATGCTGCTCCCCCTGTGGGGCCAGACCACGTCTGCACCGCAGGCTGTGGCTTGCCTGCGGGCGAGGCACTGGCAGCCCGGGCTGCCGCCCCTCGGGCTTCTCTGCCCGTGCCAGAAGCGCGCTGAGGGAGGGCGTCCGGTGACGACTGCCGCTGCGCCACCTCAGGAAGCGCTGGAAGCGCGGCAGCGCAGAGTCGGCCCGTGTCAGAAGGATAGGCGAGAAAGATGCAAGGGCCCTGGGAGGCCACGTCGAAGCTTTTCGAACGGGCGCGGCCAACGAAAGTGACCAAGGATGGGCCGAGGAGGCAAGGATGCAAGGGTACCCTTAGGAAAGTTGCCCATCCTTGCTATGCGGCTTGGCTGTAACGACTGCCGCTGCGCCACCTCGGGAGGCGCTAGAAGCGTGGCAGCGTAACAAGGTTCAACGGCCCCTCTCCGAGGAGGCCGCCTCGGGGGGGGGACGAAAGAAGAGGTCAGAGGAGAAGAGGGTATCCATGCGGCTACCCTTGTTTCGTTTTCCCGCTTGTGGACCTCATGGGCGGCCGTCGTGTCGCCACCGCTGGGTTCGCCTCGAGATTGTGGTCGGAAAACACCCCGGGAGATGTCTGGGGAGCAGCGGTATCCGTACCTGCTGGTTTCCCGAGGAGGGCAGCAAAGGGCACCCATTGGTCGGAAGAGATCGGAAGAACTAAGTGGAACCATGAAGCAGGAAGGCTTTGGAAGCAAATTAGGCGTCCCAGTGAAGGAAGCAGGAAACAGGTAGGATCCTTCAAGTAGGAAGTCGCCCCAAGTAGATTGGGCAACTAGGAAGCCAGAAATACCTACTTCTAACGACCGACGGGCAGGGCAGATCATCAGCTCACGCAGCTGGCTTTCCTGGCGCTGCATGGCGTCAGGAGGCTCCCGTGCATCGAGGCGTGGGCGCAGCGGCGGGGCCGAAACCAGCTGCATGCAGCAGCTGTCGTGGGGCCCCCCCCTTCCCTATCTGACCCTTCGTCTGGCCCGACAGGGGTGCCCCTGGCCCAAGGCTGCGACAGAGCCAGGACGAGGCCAAACTCGGGTAAGGATGAACCGAACATCCGCCGACCCCTTGGGGCCATCGGTGTGTGAGATGCTTCACCTCCCCAAATCCCCAAACCCCTCCCCCGGGGCCCGATTCGGTCGGTCTGGAGGGAAGGGGGGGGGGGTCCGGCCGGCCCCGGGTGAACGCGCCACGGGCATCACGACGGGCCATGAGGGCCCCAAAAGGCCCACAAGGTGGTTTCCGAGTCGCCGAAGGATCGTTCCAAAACGCCCAAGAAGGCCCCCAGACGGCCTAAGAGGCCCCCGAGACGCCCTAAAAGGCCCCCAAGAGGCGTCACAAGAGGGCCCGAAGCAAAAGTCGTCCCATTCTCTGAAGGAAATGTATGATTTCAGCACATTCGTCTTTTGGGCTTTTACAACGTGCAAGACGCGGCCCAAGAGGCCTCCAAAATCGCCCCAAGACGGCCCAGGAAGCCCCCAAGAAGGCTCCAAGACGGCCCAAGAAGGCCCAAAGACGGCCCCCAAGACGGCTCCAGGACGGGGCCCACGCGGGGGACCCGAACGGGAATTTCGAGCCCTCGGCCCCGAGAAGTCTCCAGGGGGCCCCAAGAGGCCCCCAAGAAGCCCCTAAGAGGCTCCAAGAGGCCCACCAGAGGCCCAAAAAAGGCCCCTCGAGGCTCCAAAACGGTCCCTAAAAGGCATCAGAAGTGCTGCAAGGAGGCCCCCGAGAGACCTACCAGGAGCCCCCCAAGGGGTCGACGGTGCGGCGTAAGCCCGAGAATCTCTCTAATTTAATTCGGACGGCTCTGGAGGAAGTCTCGGGCGCCGAGATCCTCTCAGAGCGTCCCGGAACATTCTCAAGGCGTTCGGGAACGCTCTGGAAGGGATCTATTCTCGTCCTAGCTCCGCCCGAGGGGTGCCCCTGGACCAGGGCCCTGGGGCCCAGACGTCGCAGAAGAATTGCAGCACAGTGGAAACCGCGACCAGAACCCAGAGACCCCAACGTTGAAGGGGCCCTGGGACACACAAATAAATACACACAAATAACCGGATTCCCCATATTTTCCCATATGTTTTGGATTCTTGTCTTCCCCCCACTTCCCATATTTTCCCATATTTTCTGTGGATCGACGATTACTTGTGCCTGTGGGTTTTTTCCTCCTGGAACCTCCTGGGGCATGTCTCGGTCCAGATCCACGCGCGAGGCCCCGGGGGCCCGAACCTGGGCGAACACGCCGGGTGCGGAACAAATGCGACGCCCAGATCTCACTCGGGAGCGGCCAAGGAGGGGGGTGTCCAGGAGGGGGGGGTGCAGATCGTGACCGGCGGCACGTGCGCGGCCCAGCGGGGGCCGGGGACGTAATGAAATAAGAAGAGGCGCCATGAAACCTGGGGAAATATCCTGGCCCCCGCCATGATATCCACCCCCCCCTAGTCATCACCCCCCTACTTGCCGCCCCTGGCTCACCGAGAGACACCAGCTTTTCCAGGGTTTCCCTTGTGGCCGGCAGAACGACCCTCACGAGGCCCAGGTGGCCCAAGGGACTCCGAAAAAAGTTGCGCGAAATCCTTGGGGTACATCGGGCAAGGGTCACCTCTGGCAACCTCCGACGTTGCGGCCGGGGTTTCCCAATGCTCTGGCCTCACCCGCTCGACCGCACCATCCTGCTTGTCGTCGTCGTCCTCCTCCTCCTCCTCCAATTTTGCCACAAAGGTGACAAGTTGAAACCTGGCACGGTTGTTGTTGATGGCAAGTGACGCAGTTGCTGGCACCCATCCAGAACACCCTGGACATCCTAGCACCCTCCTGGCACCCTCATCCGCAGTGGGTCCGAACGGCCCTTCTTCGGAAAGTGCCTGGCTGATACCGCACCGCAGGCCACCTCCCCCAAAAATGTGGAGATTCGTGGGGAACCTGAGATGGCCTCTCGACCGGACTTGGACCGCCGGGCACGACCACGCCTGGTTTCCACGGGGTGTGGGACGATCGCTCGTGGGCGAAGCATGGAAGCAAACTGTTAGAATGACTGCGCCGTTTCTTGGGATGATGACTCAGCGGGGGGTTCCAGGACATGGAGGCTGTCCTCGAACGCCTTAAGCGAGACGCGCTCAGAGGCCGTGCGCTCAAGCTCGGCTTCTCGGAGACGCCGCCTGCCGTTCACCTCTCCGGCTCCATGGTTCCCGGAAGCATATCGCTTGGAGAGGAAGGCTGCCGCCGATTGCATCGTGCATGCTGTTGCCAGGCTTTCGCTTGCTTCTGAAGGGGCCCTGGGACACACAAATAAATACACACAACTAACAGGATTCCCTATATCTTCCCATATGTGCTGGGTTGTTGTCTTCCCCCCCACTTCCCATATTTTCCCATATTTTCCTGGGGATCGACGATTCATTGTGTATGTGTGCTTTTTCCCTCCTGAAGCTTCGCCTCCTCGGACGCAACCCGCCATGTCGGCTTGCACCTGGGCGACCCGCCCCCAAAATGTGAGGGCGCCACGGTGCCTGCGCTGCGCCTCACTGCTCTTGCCGCCGAGGAGCCTGCCCGCCCTCTGGAGAGGAAGGAGGTACGCGCGGCAATCAGCGCGGGATTCGTCGTTGCGTCGTCCGTCGGCTTGGCCAAACTCCTGGCGGAAGCACTGGGGGTGAGACAGGCGGCGCGCCCCAGGCAATTGGCACCGGCCTCGGACGTGAAATCTTTCGGTTGCCACAGAGCGGCCTCCCACAGAGCGGCCTCCAAGCGGAAAGTCCGGCTGCGCGCGGCCCGAGAGATGGGCCGCGCGCATCGACGCCTGACGTCGACGGACTGCTGGGCAGGAGTGCAGGAAGATCGTCTTCGCGGGGCCCCTCCCAGCAAGTGCTCTTGGGCCCCAATTCATCAGCCCCTGCATGCGCCCATGAACGTGGAGGCCGCTCACCGTGTGCCGTGCCCGCCTCGGCCTAGGAGATCCTGGAGCTCGGCTTTTTGCGGTCGCGGACTGCGCGGCCGGCCGAGGGTCTCTGGGGCCAGGGCTCCCTTGGGCCCCGGATGGTCGGAACCCCACTCTGGCAGCATCAGGCGCCTGGCCCCCCGGGAGCCCTCGTGCTCAAGGATGTATGCGGCAAGGTGCAGCCCGCAGGGAACGCGCGCTACCAATAGTGCCGGAGGGCCTCCGAGTACCGCTGCTCACTCTGTGCATCGCATTGGCTACTCGCTCGCTTCAGCGTTCACTCTCATGGGCAATTTCGGCACGACCGTCAAGCTGACGGACAACTCCCCCGTCCTGCTCGGCGACCTCACGTAGCAAGGGTGTTAACAAAAAAGTGGGGCGTCACACCTGCCGCGGCGATGAACTCGGCTATCACGTGTCCAACGTTTGCGTCTGCTGCGGAGGCGTCGGTGACAGCCTGCACTACCAGTTGCATTGCTGCCGACGCTCTGAAGTCGCTGCCCTCAGGACAGGACATTTGCCCGACCGCATCCTGGCCCTCGCGCTGGACGCGCTTGAGAACAGCGATCTCATCAACCACGGAGTCGTCGAGCCTCCAGGTGACCAACTCGACAGCTTCCCGTCGCCTCTGGGGGTCCATGTGGTTCAATTTCGGAGGCGCGATGGACGCCCTGGCACGGCGCGTGGATGAGGGGACATCGCGGGCGCGGCTGGGACATGCACCAGAGCAGGTACGCCAGAACTGAATAGGGCGGTTTGGGCGGCGGCGCCGTTCAATTCATAAGGGGGCCCTCCGCAGACCCTCGGGCTAGCGAGCGCATGGGCTTCCACACGCTCTGGGTGGCCCTCGCAAAGCAAGCCATAGCCCGAGTTGAATGCAAAGGCGCGCTGGAGCAGCATGCCAAGACCCTCGTTCAGCGTCTCAATGGCAAGCTCAAGAACGCTGGTCTGCACAAACTTGCGTTTGCTCCTGATGGCGGGCATTTGATTCTCAAGCCGCAGTGACAGAACGAGCAAACGCACGCGGGTGCTGGCCCAGGACTGCACGTGAATTTGCGCCGTGCACTCACACGGTGCCCACCGCGACATGGACCGGCAGGGCGAATTCAGCCGGGGCGACCACTCGCGAAAAGGCTCGCCCGCAAGTACTTGTTGAGGGCAGGCATTTGTCGAAAGAAGCCCAGAAGGCCAATAGCAAACAAGACATCCCTCACCTTTTAGGCAAGGCGAAACTGGCTGCTGGCGTTCAGGCCGCCAGCATCGCAGCCGCAGAGACGCTCGTCGCATGCTGTCCGAGCTTTGATCCCGCAGCTCTCCAGGAGCTCAGGCAGAATATAAGCACCCCGCAGTTGCGGGTATGAGTGAAGGGGTGGTTCGCGGGTGGCTCGCGGGCGATTTGCTGGTGGTTCGCGGGGTGGGTCGCGGGTGGGTCGCGCGGGTGGGTCGCGGGCGGGTCGCGGGTGGGTCGCGGGCGGGTCGCGGGTGGGTCGGGTGGATCGCGGGTGGGTCGCGGACGAGTCGCGCGGTGGGTCGCGCGGTGGGTCGCAGGCGGGTCGCGGGCGGGTCGCGGGGCGGGTCGCGGGTGGGTCGCGGGTGGGTCGCGGGTGGGAAGCGGATTGGGTCGCGGGTGGGTCGCGGGTTGGTCGCGGGCGGGTTGCGGGCGGATCGCGGGCGGGTCGCGGGCGGGACAACAGCAACAACAACATCAACAACAACAATCATTTTAAGATTGTTCGCTCTTATCTGCGCGAGTGTCATTCAGCGTGCATTTCCCGAACACTCGATACCCGCCCTCTTCGTCTGCGATCATACCACTTTTGGTGGTTATATATTTCTTCGTGAGTTATGCGTGATTAGCCAGAAAGCTTCCAGCGAGAGAGCGATCCCTAAGAAAATGTGAGGAAGTCCCCAGCGAACGCATGATTCCTGAATGCCAAGACCGCGGCGCCTGAGTAAAAATTGCGGGGAAGTCTCAGGCGGGAGCGCGGTTCGTAAACTGTGGGGAACAGCAGCAGCAACAACAACAACAACAAAAACAAAAACAAACTGGCGACGCCCACTGGCGCCGGTATACACGGAATGATAGAGCTCGATTGCTCCGTGTTCCCGGTGCACGGAATCGTAGGCGCCTATGACTCCGTGTATGCGGAGTAATGGGCGCTTACTATTCCATGTATCGGATACACGGAGTGACATGGACCTATTACCCCGTGTATACGGAGTAATAAGCGCCGACTATTCCGTGTATAAGCTGTATACACGAGAACAACCACAACAAACACAACAACAGCCACAACCACAACCACAACCACAACCACAACCATAACCACAACCACAACCACAACAACAACACCAACACCAACACCACCAACAACAACAACAACAACAACAACAACAGCAACAGCAACAGCAACAATCCGCACCGCGGAAGCCCACTTCAGCCGCGCGCCAAGGAACAATGAATGACGCTTCGGCCCCCTCACTCTGATTTGCACCGCTCCTGTAGTTTAGAATCGAGGGCAGGAAAACCACCCTTTCCAGTCGGAACCCCGACAAGCGAAGCCATTTAGCAAACGCACCCAAGGAAGAAATCGAAAAGGGGAAGGGCTGTTGAGTCAACGCCCAGGGCCGTTTTGTAATTGCGAAGTGTTGGTGGCTGGGTGTCTTTGGCACCGAGCCAACGGAATCAGCACCGCAGCGAGCGGCGCTGTCCTCGAGCGCAAAAAGCAGGCTTGCCATCTAGTCCACTAGTGGGGGCTGTTGGACGGGCCCGCGCCACATCGTTGCGCGGCATGTTTTACCATGTTGCCAATACGTTCCAACTGCCAGGGTTCGAGCAGGAAGGGCCTGCAAGCCAGCCTGCGCGCCGAGTTCAGGACGGGTCCCGAGCGCATTCAGACATCTCACCAAGGTGGTATTAGCTGACACTACCAACAACCATGTGTCATTTGCCATGACGCACGGCTGCCGCGTGCAACTGTCGTTCAAAGCCCGCACCCCGTTTGACCAGGCCCCCGGCCACCAGGGAATGACGGCGGGTGGACGGACGCAAGAAGTCGCCTGCGCGACACCAGCGTGCAACACCGCTGTGGTGCAGGCCGGCCAATCGGCTCAGCAACGCCGACTCAGTCCTCGCCGCTGACATTCGTCGAACACGTCCAACCACACACTGACCAAAGGGCGGTTTAGTTTTCGGGGTCAGGCTTTGATTCCAGAACATCCTGGAAGGGCAACGTCAAGCACCCGGCGCATCCGCCGCGCGCGATCGCCGGCTCCGGGTGGCGTCCGCGACGGCGTGTTGCACGAGAGTCCAGATTATTCTTGAGCTTTGGAGACCCCGAAAACGAAGCTAAATCACCCTGCGGCGGCGGGAACAATCCCGCAGAGGTATTGAAGGTCGGCGTCCAAGAAGGATGATCTGTTTGCCCAGAGGTATCGATGCCAGGATGTCGGGGGCCGGTCTTCAAGAGCCTCCATGATGAGCTCGGCGTTCCCCGTCTCGGAGTCGGCGGAGAGCTCGGCGCGCGCGGGGCGCGTGCAGAGGGACCCTTCGGGAAGCCTCGGGAATGCGGCCGCCCTCCGAAGATGCGGGTAGGCTGCCCAGGCCCGACCCCTCCCCGTCGGGACCCGGGCCTGGGCGGCCACCCGCCCGCGAAGGGATTCTGCGCGGAGCTCGCTGCTCGGCCGCCCGCACTCACTCACTCGGCACACTGGCGCCCGCCAGCCCACGGGGCCGTCGCAGGCGGCAGAAGTGCCCTCTGGCCTGACCTGGCGGCAGGAGGCACAGCGGCGGAGCCATATACAAGATGCCAACGCTGTTTGACTTTGCAGCGTCGGGCCGTTGACACAAGGCCCGCTAAATGACGAAGCCTGCGTGCACGAGGAGGGCAAGAGAGGCGGCAGCCATGGAAAGGCCTCTGAGGAACCTCGAGATCCTTCCGAGCCCAAACTGCTTCTTATTTCAGCGACTTGACTGTACCCTTTTTTTTGTTGTTGCCCTTCCTGTAACACCAACTGCCCCCGGAGGCTGCTGCGGGCACATCTGGAGCTTCCAGGGACACCAGCTCGATATCTCTGGGAACCTCATCTTCCTCCTCCTCCTCCTGCTCTTTCTCCTGCTCCGCCCCTTCAACCTCCTCCGCCTCCTCCTCCTGATCCTCCTCCGTGTCCCCTGGACTCTGACTCTTTCATTGTTGGGCGTATCACCTCCTCCGTATCTTGACTCATGCCACACCTGCGGCGCTCAATTGGATCCAATTGGATCCTCCGCGTCCCCTCCACTTCCTCCCCATCTGAGTCCAGACCATCATTCCCCGCTTCGCTAGTCATCCTTCTCGTCTCCTCATCCTTATGCAATGTCGTCATCGTCGTCCTCCTCCTCCTCCTCAGAACAGGGCCGCGCACGGCGACAGCAAAACCGGAAACCTGCCGAACTGACAGCGAAACCGACACCGACCGAAATCGACAGGCCGAAAGCAGCCTGCAAGGGCGCAACGACGCGGTAACGGCACACAATCATCGACCGAACCGAACCGACCGAACGCAGGGGGCAGCACAGGCTCCCCAGACGCCGAAAAGCAACTCGTGTTGTCTCCGTTCCCCACGGAGCGAGGGGTTTACGCCTCCCTCCCAGAGGCCTCCTGGACGGGGTCGCAGTAGATGGTGTCGGCGGATCGCGCCCCGCGTCGCTGGCGTCGGCGATGCATGGGCGATGCGGCGCGATCTTCAGACCCCGTCTGCGCCGACCCCATCCAGGAGGCCTAGGGTTGGGTCGGCCACGTGCCCCTAGAGGCGGATTTCGGAGGAGGAATAAGAAGTACCCCACACAGAGTTCAAGAATGATCAGCAAATGCTGAACGATCGTCCCCGGCCTGTGCTTTGACTATGCCTGGATCTTCCTCCTGTCGAGGTACAGGCCCGACTGAAGCCTGGAGTATGGGTCCTCCACCCTCGCCCTCTCTCCCTCGGCTCGCTCGCATCCCAGGCGGGCGGCCACCTACTCCGACCCCATCTACTCCGACCCCATCCAAGAGACCTGGAGTATGGGTCCACCTCCCTCGCCCTCTCCCTCGGCTCGCTCGCATCCCAGGCGGGCGGCCTGGGCAACCTTGTCGTTCGTGTCGGCGAGCTCCGCGGACTTCCTCCACCGCGGGGCGCACACCGCTGCCCGGCGGCAGGGCGAGGGGAGCGGCAGGGCGAGGCAGCGAGGAGCCTCTGCCTGCCGGGGCAGAGCACCCCCCAGGGCCCAAGCCCGCGCCAACGGCGTGCTTTGGTGAACGGTGCGGCTGGGAGTCTGGTTTTCGTGGCACCGAGCACACGCAGAACATCCTGCAGGAGATCGCGAACACACACCGCCTCTTCCTTCATTTTTTCAAGGATGCGAAGGCATCGAACGACGACGACACGTCGAGGCGTGGGAACACACGCAGCACGCGCTCCTACAAGTGGTTCGGCCACGGACCACGCCTCCCCACAACTGGTGCTCCTACATCGCCTTAGCGCGTCTACTTTCGGCGCGTCTAGCGCGCCTTCCTACGATTGGTGTTCCCGCATATCGCCGTTAGCCAACACACCATCAAAACGCGTCTACGGAGAAGTCGGGCACAACCCCGATTTGGACGCCCGAAATGGGTACGGAAAGAATGGGTACAATGCCCAACAACAAATGTTGTTCCAAACCGACAGCGGCCGCTGTTGGGCAGGCGGCCTTCTGTCTCGAATGGACGCAGGCCGCGGCGGCGCGGACAGCAAGTCCTGTTCAAAATGAACAGGAACTGCTGTTTGGCATTGTGCCCATTCTTTCCGCACCCATTTCGTTCGTGCAGAGCATATCGCCGTTAGCCAACACACCATCAGAGCGCGTCTTCGGAGAAGTCGGGCACAACCCCGAGAGAGCCGGGCGCCGCAGCCGCTCGCGCCGGGTCTTCTTCTGCCTCGCGGCGTGGGGCCCCTATGGGGCCCTCTCGCGGCTCTCGGCCCCGAGCGAGGCGTGCTGCGTGAGAGGCCGGGGTCCAGTGCGCTGGCCGCGGCTGCTCACGACGCTGGGGGCTCCGAGGCTTCTGTTGCTCCCGTCGTACTTCTATTAAGGGGCAAACAGCCTACCTCGCTTATGACCACCCTCGCTTCCAAGAGATACCAAGCGATGCCAAACTACGGCCTGTACTGGTCAGGCCGCTTGACGAGGAAGCGCTGGTATGACTTGGTTTTGCCTGGAAGCGAAAGCGGGGTAGGTAATTCATGCTCTGATTATAAGGACCACGTCCCCGAAATGATTTCGAGCACCCAGAAAAGTATCGAGACAACATCGAAAGAGCATCGCCTCCCAAGCCCGACATGTGAAAACCCTAGTGTCGGTACTTTCTCGGTGCTCGAAATTCTTTCTGGTGGTCAAGGCTAAAGTGGGTTGGAACATAACAGCCCAAGACGAGAAAAGGCTGTGGGCAACTGTGAGCGCGGCGGTATGCGAGCGCACGCGATGGGAAAACTTCCCTCGATTCTCGCGCCAAACTCTGTTCTTGACGTGGGAGCCTCCTGTGGAGACCAAGCTGTGGCGATCCGCTACTCTCAAGACCTCTCCTGTGGCGCGTTCTGGCCAGGCTCTGGCGACGAGGGCCTCCCGGGAGGCCCCAAAAAAGTGCGAGAACGACGCAACAGTAGAGGTATCGGTAGTTTGTCCTCCTCTGACCTCCCACCAGGACCACGACGACAAGCCGCCCGACGCCCGCGATGTCGCGCCCGCGCAGCCGCAGCCGCCAAGGGTGGCCCTCGGCGTCGTCGTCGTCCTCGTCCTCCTCCTCGTCCTCGTCGTCCTCGTCGTCGTCGTCGTCGTCGTGTTCGTCCTCGTCCTCGTCGTCGTCCTCGTCGTCCTAGTCGTCGTCGTCGTCGTCGTCGTCGTCGTCGTGTTCGTCTTCGTCGTCGTGTTCGTCCTCGCCGCCCTCGTCCTAGCCGTCGTCGTCGTCGTCCTCCTCCTCGTCCTCGTCGTCCTCGTCCTCCTCCTCGTCCTCGTCGTCCTCGTCGTCGTCGTCGTCTTGCAGTGCTCGACGGCGTCGTGGCCCCAACAGCCGAGCGGGCCTCCGGCGGCCTGCCCGCAGCGCTGTGCGCCGGAGGCCGGCGGGCTTCCCGCGGTCGGGGCCGGCCCGCGGAGCGCCGCCTCGGAGCGCCGCCTCCGACCGGGGCCGCGAGGCGGGCCCGGCCGTGGCGACGAGAAGCTCTGAGGAGGCAGCTGACCTCCTCCTCCTCCTCCTCCTCCTCCTCCTCCTCCTCCTCCTCCTCCTCCCTCTGACTCCTCACTCCTCCTCCTCACTCCTCTCCTCCCTCCCTCCTGACTCCTCACTCCTCCTCCTCCTCCTCCTCCTCCTCCTCCTCCTCCTCCTCCCTCGCTTCCCCCTCCGTGGCGGCGAGAAGATCTGAGGAAGCAACTTCGGCTACGCGTAAGAGTGACCCTGGGTAAGAGTGACCTCTGGTGCACGGCTTTTGGGGGGCCGCGGGGGGGCAAAACACGAGCGTGCAAGACGCCACTGCCGCCTCGCGTTCGGGGATCGGGGACCCCATGGGCCCGCACCAAGGGTCACTCCGGCGAAGGGTCACTCCTACGTGTAGTCGACAACTGACCTCCTCCTCCTCCTCCTCCTCCTCCTCCTCCTCTTCCTCCTCCCTCGCTTCCCCCTCCTTGGGGTGCCGAAGGAGTAAGGAGGATCAAGCTCCATTGCGGGGCTGTTGCGCCGGAGTGGGCCTCGGATTAAGCAAGACCGAGCCGGATTCGGCGGCATCAAGCGGGATCAAGCCGGATTCAGCGGGATGAAGGGGGATTCAGCCGGACCTCGGATCAGGGCAAAATCAGACTTTGACCTCCCAGGAGTTGCATCCGAAAAGGTCCAGGGAGGCCTAAAAAGATGGCAGGATGCGTTGCGCAACGTCAGACCTCGAACCTGCACCCTGCTCTCCTCCACCCCCGCCGCCGCCGAGGGGTGCGATCACAGCTGCACGAGCTCGCGCGTATGCGACTCCAAATCCTGGGAACCGCTTCAAATCTGCTGGGGCAGCAAGGCACCACAACTGCATCGAGGACACGCCCTTGGGGGGTCTTGAGCATGCCAACGAATAGTCAGAGCACCGAAACCAGCTTAGCAGTGGTTCTGGTCGATATGGGCGTCCAAGAACGGACAAATCCAGCATAAACACTGCCAACAAATTCATAACAAGGTCGGTGGCGTCTTCCCCGACGGGCCCTCCACCAAAAATCCACTCAGTACTGGTTGTGGTTCTCTGTTGTGCACGGACTAACCCACACGCATGCTGCTGCATAGCGCTCAGGTCCGACCGCATTCGCTCCTAAGTTCCAGGATCTGAGAGGGCAAATCCCTGGGATCACATACCGTATTTCAAATTCGAGAGGCTGCGGAAAGCTTCAGCCAGAGGCTTGAGCAACCCCGATCCCCGACGTGGTGAGATTGCTTCGACGGTGCAATTCGTGTGGGGCCCAACTCGGGGACAATCAGTGTTGGGCCCGTCCCCGACAGAGGTGCGTCAACCCCCTCGGCGTGCATTCCCGAATGCTCCTCCTCTCTATGCAGCTTGTTGATTGTGGAGGGCCCTGGTCTACTTTCTCATCCCACGAACGTCGAATTACGTCGATCCCTAGTAACCGCTTAGTTGCGCAACAAAAATCTTGTGCATGCGTCTTGTACCGTACACGCTTCTTAACATATTACAAGTTTACTGATCAACACAGGTGGCCTCACATATGCTTGGCGTCGCACCTTCGATGCTCTTGCTGGACTCACAAAAACTAGAATACCGCCTTCCATAACATGCGATCTGCGCAAACCAAGGATATCATCCCCGCTCTGCGAACTGCGGCCGCCAATGCCTCATCCTCACCAAACTCGCCCTACGTCACCCGACCCATACCAACCCTTCCAAAATTATCCTGGCGAAGGACCCAACCAGATGCAGTTGCGAGTACCGCAATTGTGAGTATCTTCTTCGATGGCGCTCCCTATGGGGCCACGAACCGTATGAGGGGTGTGCCGAAATCTGTGCGGCGGGCGCAGCGCAGCCAACACGAAACGTGTGAGGGGTGTGCCGAAATCTGTGCGGTGGGCGCATGGGAGCGCAGCCACTGGGGCCTTCGCTGGAGCTCCCTATGGGGCCACGAAACGTGTGAGGGGTGTGCCGAAATGGGTGCGGTGGGCGCATGGGAGCGCAGCCACTGGGGCCTTCGCTGGAGCTCCCTATGGGGCCACGAAACGTGTGAGGGGTGTGCCGAAATGGGTGCGGTGGGCGCATGGGAGCGCAGCCACTGGGGCCTTCGCTGGAGCTCCCTATGGGGCCACGAAACGTGTGAGGGGTGTGCCGAAATGGGTGCGGTGGGCGCATGGGAGCGCAGCCACTGGGGCCTTCGCTGGAGCTCCCTATGGGGCCACGAAACGTGTGAGGGGTGTGCCGAAATGGGTGCGGTGGGCGCATGGGAGCGCAGCCACTGGGGCCTTCGGTGGAGCTCCCTATGGGGCCACGAAACGTGTGAGGGGTGTGCCGTGTGATGGATGCGCACATGCAGCCACTGGGGCCTTCGCTGGAGCTCCCTATGGGGCCACGAAACGTGTGAGGGGTGTGCCGAAATGGGCGCGGTGGGCGCATGGGAGCGCAGCCACTGGGGCCTTCGCTGGAGCTCCCTATGGGGCCACGAAACGTGTGAGGGGTGTGCCGAAATGGGTGCGGTGGGCGCATGGGAGCGCAGCCACTGGGGCCTTCGCTGGAGCTCCCTATGGGGCCACGAAACGTGTGAGGGGTGTGCCGAAATGGGTGCGGTGGGCGCATGGGAGCGCAGCCACTGGGGCCTTCGGTGGAGCTCCCTATGGGGCCACGAAACGTGTGAGGGGTGTGCCGAAATGGGTGCGGTGGGCGCATGGGAGCGCAGCCACTGGGGCCTTCGCTGGAGCTCCCTATGGGGCCACGAAACGTGTGAGGGGTGTGCCGAAATGGGTGCGGTGGGCGCATGGGAGCGCAGCCACTGGGGCCTTCGCTGGAGCTCCCTATGGGGCCACGAAACGTGTGAGGGGTGTGCCGAAATGGGTGCGGTGGGCGCATGGGAGCGCAGCCACTGGGGCCTTCGGTGGAGCTCCCTATGGGGCCACGAAACGTGTGAGGGGTGTGCCGAAATCTGTGCGGTGGGCGCATGGGAGCGCAGCCACTGGGGCCTTCGCTGGAGCTCCCTATGATCGTCATGATGGTGATGATGATGATGATGATGATGATGATGATGCTGATGATGATGGCAGGAGGGAGGGGGCAGCGGGAGGAGGAGTGAACGCGGGGCGCTGTCTCTTCAAAACGAGGACCCAACACCACAGGATGGTTGGGAAACACATATGCATCTCACGTGTCGACCTCTTCCTGCCCAAGCAATGCAACCGCCCGTCACCTTTCCAACTTTCGGGTGTGATATGCGCCCGCGACTGAACTATCCCACCTCGGACTGAAACGACTGAAACGCCTTTGCTGCGAGGGAACCCTCCCCCTTCATGTGCTCATCCTTTTTATTGAATCGCTTCGCTCATTCCGCCAGCCTGTGTTGTGCCATGGGAGGCATGTTGGGTCCGAACTTGGTTGTGGACAAGATGTTTCTTTCGAAGGCTGCTCGCGGGGGCATTGGGGGGGGCCTCCTGGGGCCGCTCGGGGGCCTCTTGGGGGCGTCTTGGGGGCCTCTTGAGGGCTCTTGGGGACCTTTTGGGGCCTCTAAGGGGCCTCTCGGGGCTTCCTGGGGGCCTCTCAGGACCGAGGGCTCGAAATGTTGTTCAGTGCTCCCCCTCTGGGGCCGCTCTTGGGGCGGCCTCTTCTGGCTTCCTGGGGGCCTCTCAGGACCGAGGGCTCGAAATGTTGTTTAGTGCTCCCCCTCTGGGGCCGCTCTTGGGGCGGCCTCTCGGGGCTTCCTGGGGGCCCCTCAGGACCGAGGGCTCGAAATGTTGTTTAGTGCTCCCCCTCTGGGGCCGCTCTTGGGGCGCTCTAGGGGCCCTCCTGGGCCGTCTTGGAGGCCTCTTGGGCCGTCTTGGGGCCCTCTTGGGGCCCTCTTGGGGGCCTCTTGGGCCCTCTTGGGGCGATCTTGGGGGCCTCTTGGGCCGTCTTGGGGCGTCGGGAAGCCGAAAACGTGGAAACACCAAAATCTGTCCAAAACCTAAGGAAAAGCAGTGAATTTTGCATCTTGGGGCCCTCTTGAGAGTGCTCTTGAATTGGAGGCCTCTTGGGGCGTCTGGGGGCCATCTTGGGCGTCTTGCAGCGATCTTGTGGCATCTTCGAGCCCTCTTGTATCATCTCGGGGACCTGTTGACCCTTCTTGGGGCTCTCTGGAGGGTCTCGAGAGCGGCGCCCAAACGGAAAACCATCTCTGATCCGACCCTGCCGGGGTACTTTTCCTCCTGGTACCCCCAGGGGCCGCCCCCCGCGCGCGAAGTAGAAATACTGTAAAGCAGTTACCGGAGATCTTAGCACGCCTCTGGCCCGTTGGGTCGGCGAATTTGGCAAGAAGATACTGCGATCAACAGGTGGGATCCATTTGCCAATCTCTAGGGCAACAGATGCGTTGCGCAATACTTCGATGCGTTGCCTACACTTTCCAACTGTCCAACCAGGGTTGGCGGCATGGGCAGGAGCCCATTCGATAACCATACAAAGGCCATCGGTTCTACACTAGCTGTGTGAAATTACAACGGGCTCATCTAGCTGCCCCGCAAACACAAGTCTTGCCCCCATTCTCACTCCAATCGCTTGGAAAGTCGTTGGGTCGGCGGCAAACGTTAGAGCTGAAATGGATCGAAACTCCATCAATTACCCTCCGTTGAGCGATGTCCACAAATTGCTGACCAGTAAGTGAAATTCATTGCGGCAACATGATGCGACGCACCTGCTCCAACATTTTGTTAAAAAAAGATGCTGCTATTAATGGTAAAGATGCTCGTCAGTGGACACCAGTATCCACCAAATATCCACAGGGAAGACTGCGTTCCTCCAGGACGCGCGTAGACAACTTGGGCGCACACAATGTGGCATGGCTCATCCGCCACCTTGCCTGCACGAAGTGGGCGTGTTACACTGCTCGTCTGTTCTGGTCAGGTGTTCACATGTGCTCTACGACGGCCGACCCCCCCCCTGCGTAGCACGCGTCGTCCACCCCCCCGAATGTTCTCTCCGGCTATCCGCTCGGCTTCCAGACGACTCCAAGACAACCAAAATGAGCCCCAAGACAGCCGTGCTCCCCCTAAGACGGCCCAACATGCACCCAATACGATCCAACTGCCCAAGAAGGCCTCGAGATTGTGCAGGAGGGCATCCAGATGACCCAAAACGTCATGGGATACAACATGCCTTTGACATGCAGGTCTGGGCTTCCGAAAACTCACAACGGTCCCACAAGTTACCACGAGCGCTCCCAGGCAACACAAGAGGGTCCCGAGACGGCCCAAGGGTCTCCAAGACAGCCCAGAAGACCTCCCACAAAGCCGAGATGCGGCCCAAGAGAAGAACATCGAGCTGGCCTCGAGAACCTTTCCCGAGATCGCTTCCAAGACCCCAAACATTCCCGCGAGGGCACCACCGAGGGACAGAAGACGTCCCCAAGAGTCCGTAGGAGGCCCCACAGAAGCCACGAAGATGCTTTAAACGCATTCCAACAAACCAACAGAAGCTCCCAGAACTATTCCAAGGTCCCCCTTACTGCTAAGCTGTTGAAGAGACACGGTGGCGCGATTTGCCGCAGGCAGCTGGATCGCAACTTACAGCTCTTGTCAATGTTCACCGCTGCATGCTTGGCTGAGCGCTTCCTGCATAACAACATTGCTTCCCGAAGAATCATCCTTATCACATCGGTACGACTATCGCTGTGAAAGAGGCAAACCATGTGCCAGCACTCTGCAAGAAGGAGTACTTGCCCGTCCTTCAAGCCCTGAGCAGATAACAAGGTGGCGCCGTTGGTACTTGCAATATGAAAGACCAACACCAACACCACCTACTTGAGATGACAAAGAGGAACCAACACGGATACCCTGACACCGTCAACCAGCAAGCTGACGCGTGACAAGACGAGCCCTGCCTGAGAGGACATCGGTCCAACTGAAGAATCAGGCTTCTCTGAGAACAAACAGCTCGGTAGCAACGCAGCCTGCTGTTCTGGTCCGATTTCCACATCATCTAGGTACACCTGAATTTGTGAATAGCCTGTGGGCACAACCAACGCGGCGTAGACACCAAAGGGCAGCACAGGAAACACCTGGACCTCAGGCTGGCCAACGTTCAAGAGGTACGCACGGGGCACTCGCACTGCCTCGGACACGTCATACGAATCACATGCTCGACGAGACGTGTCATATGTCTGAATCTCAGTCGTGTGCAATGGCCGCACGAAGTAGTCCTGGTCATCCCAGCCGAGCAGCACGCCCCTAAACTCTGTTGCGTTGAACATGGCAGCTTTCCATGTCACCATGACCTCTCCATGTTGGGGCAACTGGAAGTCGGCCAGCACACCAGGCATCAGTTTGAAACTGCCATGAGCATAGGCGCTTGTGTCTAACGGCCGCGGCAAATGCAGCACCGCATTTGCGTCGCTCGTGCCAGTCTCCAGTGGCTCTGTCGTGGTCCAATCTCGTGAGACGGCACGAAGATAGTACACCTTTGGTGCGTCGCTGCCTCCCATGGACAAAGTTCGCTCCATCCAGCTTCGTGGCCTCTGCCACTCGTACAAGACCAGCTCATACTCTGCCCGAAGACTCTTTGCAACGCGCTGCGAACCAGAACTGCTTGCAGCACGAATGGCCAAACCTCGGACAACACAGAAAGTGTGCCTGGCCGGGCGTGGGCGCAAGCACTGCCTCCATATGGTGACCGATGTCCACATTGTTCAGCTCAAAATGAAACCTAAAAAAACTCAGAAACTACGCTCGAGCCAGCATGAACACGGCAACACCATGTCATGGAAGTAACAACCACGACCACCGACGCGTGAGGAATTTCTCTATCCTTTACAGTCAAACCGTAAAATAAGGATGCGCGATAAGGATGCAAGGGCCTTGGAAGGCCACGTCGACACTATGCAAGCTGGGCGCGGCCAGCGAAAGCGGCCAGGAATGGGCCGAAGGGAAAGGATGCAAGGGTAACCGTGGAAAGTTGCTCATCCTTCCTATGCGGGTTGACTGTAGGATAGACGCAAGATGCCACGCTAAGACATGCCTGGTGCCCAGGGACCGAACGCTTGTCGTCTCGACGTTCTGTCCCAAGGTTTCTTGAGGAATGTATCCTTCCACGCCCCTCGTAGGCTGAACTATCCGCAGCCCCATCTTCAAGCCACTGGTGTGTGTGTGTGGTGGCTCCTTGCTCTTTTTACAAAAAGCTGCGGGAGCTTCAGCTGGCTTTCGGTTCTTAGGGAAATACATGATGCAGCACCGCTTGCCGCAAACTGCGGCTGCTAAGTCCGCAGCTTTGCTCCGGTCAGCTCCTTGTAATCGACTGCCACGATCTTCCGACCTTCCAATCCTTGCGATCATCTGCGCAGTGACACCTGGCATAACTCTGTAGCAAAGCTGGTGCCATGTCCAGGCGCCCTCGCTTGCGCCAATTTCTCTTGCCAAAATAATTCGTGTCCGGTGCTTTGTCAAACTGAAGATGAGCTGCCCAGCTGTCAAGCGGAGCCGCGCTGTCATGATGGGCCTGTTTTCTTTCCACCACCACAACCGTAAGTTGGAGGGGAAGGGGGTACTCGTCGTCGTCGTCGTCCTCCTCCTCCTCCTCCTCCTCCTCCTCCTCTTCGTCCTCCTCCTCCTCCTCGTCCTCCACCTCCTTCCCCTAGTCCAACCTATGGCGGTGGTGGTGGAAGACAAGCCCATCAATGCCAGGAGCGGCATGGATCAGCAGGAATCTAACCCACCTGCTTGCGGCGTGGCACCGCGTGATCCTCAACCGGCCCACCGCAACCTTTGCGGGACTGTCGGACCGAGGCTCCGTGGCTCTGGCGCGTGGGCGCCAAATGTCCACAGATTGGAGGAAGAGCACGCCAAGAAACAGGAGGCCCTTGCCGCCCGACTTGGCGACGGAACGCGCCGATCCCGCACGGACGCGGGACCCGCCGTGAGTGCACGCGCCCTGATCCAGTTTTGCGCTCCCTCGAGGGGCCAGGAATCGCGGGCGGTCCTCGACCCCCCTTCTCCAGACGTCCGGCCAGCTGCTCCACATGCCGTTCGACGCGTGGCCCCCGGAGGTCTGGACCACTTCCCCAGGGCCAGTTTGTCGTCCGGAGTCGTTTTCGGACGGTCCCGAGGCCCGGCGAGGGCCCCCCGAGGCCGAACACAGTCAAAAAAGAACGGCCCTTCCAATAGAATATATTCTGTATGAATTTTTAAGATTTCTGGATCTCCGTACGTCGAGGACGACGAGGGGGGCAGGCGCACCGTGCAAGTCTTGCATCCGCGGGCGCCTGGCGTCCAAGCCCGCGCCCCCCCCCTTCGTGCGGCCCCCGCCAGCGCCTCGAAGGCAGAGGCCCCGTCCTGGGAGCGCCCTTGGGCACGCGAGGCGGCAGCGGCAAGGTGCACACCCACGTGGCATCTTTTTTTCTCGCCCCTCGCGCCTTGTCGCATCCCCTTCAAGGCAAGGCCCATCGAATGCCAAGAACAAAAACGAACTGACTCAGCACGAGCACGTAGCAGACAAAGAGCGCAACAGAGAGCCCATCGGGCGGGACCGAGCTCGAGCTCGCCGCACGTCAGGTGGGCCTCCAGGAGGCCCGCAGTCGGGCGGGCGAAGGGCGGTGGTCAAATAAATGGCTCGTCGCCTGGGGCGCCCGTCCCAGGGGCGGCTGGGAAGCTCTTGTAACCTGACGTGCCGCCGTGTGGGTGTGAGCTTCCTGGCCGCCTCTGGGCAGGCGTCCTCGACGGGTGAAAATCGTCGGCCGCTAAAGCCAGCCTGGATGGGGTGTCTGTCTCGAGGGGGGGGGGGGGGGGGCGATTGACCTTCCGACGGGGCTTGCCCGTCTCCTTCCTCCTCCTCGTCCTCCACCTGCCCCTCCCCTCCCCTCCTCGCCACCCGTTCCGACAGCCACGTGCCCAAACCCGTGCGGATCCAAGCGGGGACCCATATTGTCCCATCCAGAGTACGGTCGAGGCTGATTGGAGAGGATACGCGAGAGGACACAACACCCATTCGAGGGCAGCACTGCCATAGAAGTGCAGAAAACATGGGTCGCGAAACTTAGGACACGAGGGTACCCTTGATTTGGCCCTGCAGCCCCGCCTGCATATTCACATTCGGCGGCGCCCGGGGGGGGGGGGGGGGACAAGGGGCGGGCCTTCTCAGAAGCCTCGGAAGTCCCCCCCGCCCCCGACTCCTGAGAAGTTCTCTAAGCCTTCCCCGAAGACACAAAAAACCTCTCGGAAGGCGCAAGGGCTTCTGAGGAGTCCCACCACCTTTTGAGAAGGCATTCTCCCTCTCACTTCCCCCCCTCGCTCCCCGCCGACAACGACGAACCAACAACACACACCCATACCCATAGGGGGGTCGGAGAGGGCTATGGGCGCGTGTTGTCGGATAGGTGTCCCCGCTCGAACGGGAGCGTTCCCCAGGGATCCGACGACCCGCATCCATACCCATAGCCAGTCCTCCTCCCAACGACCCCCCCTAATTATGGGCATGGGCGTGTGTTGCTCGCTCGTCAGATACACGCGTGCTTCGTGCTGTGGTCCCCCAGTGGGGCACGGGAGGGGAGCCCGCCTCCGATGCCGCCTCGGCGGGCGCCGCCCGCCGCACCTCCACAGAAACCCGCTCCCCGGGAGGCCGCCCCGACGGACCGCCCACGGGGGCGCCGAACGGCCGCCGACGAGGGGCCGCCGACGAGGGGCCGCCGACGAGGGGCCGCCGACGAGGGGCCTCCCGACGAGGGGCCGCCGACGAGGGGCCTCCCGACCTCGGCGGGCGGGGGCGCGTCTCCACGGCCTGGCTCGCGACCTCTGCGCGGGAGCTCCGCCGGGCGGCCGTCGGGCGCGACACCGCCGCGGCGCGACCGTGGCACCGCCGCCGCCGCCGGCGCCGGCGCCGCCGCCGCCGCCGCCGCCGCCGTCATCGTCGTCGTCGGCGGCGGCGGCGGCGGCGGCGGCGGCGGCGGCGTCGGAATCGGAATCGGAATCGTCGTTGTCGTCGGCGTCGGCGTCGTCGTCGTCGTGTGAACGGGCAAGAAGGTCGCGCGCGCGAGAGCTCCAGGCGGCCGGCTGGCGCCGCGGCACCGCCGCGGCGGGGCCGTGGCACCGTCGGCGCCGTAAGCGTCGTCGTCCTCGTCGTGGTCATCGTGGTCGTCGCCGTGTCGACGGCCGGAGGGGTCGAGGTTCGACGGCCGAGCTCTCGGTGTGTGCTTGGCCTTCTCTGGGCCTGCAAAGGGACCAGACGAGGCCACAAACGAAGTCGGCATCGGCGGCGATCGGGCAGTCGTCGCCGCGGTTGTGGTGGTTGTGGTTGAGGTGGCGGTTGCGGTCGCCGTGGTCGTCGTCCTCCTCCTCAGCGTCTCCCCCTCCTCCTGCTGCAGCCCCTCCTTCTCCTCCTTCTCCTCCCCCCACTACGTCAAAAAGGGCCGTGTGATATAACTGGTAATGAAGTTCGATGCGTCCTGCAGGGTTACAGGGTTTTCTGTGATAAATATCCTCCTCATTTTCCTATGCATCCCTTGCATGTTCCTCGCCCCCGACCTCGTCAGCTTGGCCGTCATCCTCATCCTCCTCGTCGCTCGCATTCTCGTCCTCATCGTCGACCATCTCCTCCTGTCCGTCCTCATCTCACTCCTCCCTTGCTTTACCTCCACCTCCTCCTCCTCCTCCTCCTCCTCCTCCTCCTCCCACTACTGCTGCGCAAACTCCGTTTCGTCCTCGTCGTCATCGTCCGAACCGTCATTATAATGTCATTAGATCCATCCTCCATGTCCTCATCCTGCATCTCCGACTCCCCCATCCCCCCATCCCCCATGCGCCCTTCTTCGTCCCTCATCATTATTCCTCATCCCCGATCCTCAATCTTCTCCGTCTACTCTCCTCTACTGGTCATCCCCAGCCCCAGGAGTTTCCGAGCTCTGAAGGAATGAATGGCCTGTCCACACACGACACCACATGAAAGTCAGAACCAGAGGGCGTCAAACATGACCCGATGTTCGACGCGGACGCTCCCAAATGTTCATGCTTGTCCAGCGCGGTCCGTTCTGGGAGTCTTAGTATAGGTGAGTCTGCGTGTGAGCGAGTCTGAATACGAGGGGCTGCATATGCGTGATCATGCGTGTGAGCGCTTGTAGGCGACTGCGACATGGTCAGAGGACATCGAACATATGCGGCTGACTATGATTTTGCGTGTCTGGCCGTGGGCGGGTTTCAATGTGAATGGGTAGATGTATCAATCGTGGGGGATCCTACAAGTTGAACGCCTGCGAGACCCCCGCAATCTGGGCGCGAAAGGGCCCAGGTCATCCGCCCTGGCTTCTGCCCATCAGATGGCTCCAGTGTCATGCATGCTGCACCGCGCTGGCCGAGGGGCCCTGAAGACACGCGCCTGTGCTCCAAAGTTGGCGCGTCGCCTGAGACATCCCCACAAGACGTCCCCCTGGTTGGCACTCCCGCGGGTAGGCAAAATGCCATGTCACCACGGGGCCCTGCTGAGATGCGCGTCCACGTTCCGAAGCGGTCGGCTCGCCGGAAACATCCCCACACTCCGAGCGCGAACGGGCACGTGGCACACCCCTGGCCGACACGCCCCGGAGCGGGCCAAATCCCATGCCTGCGACATCGCGGTGACCATGGGGCCTGGAAAACACACGTGCCTACTCTCCAATAAGAACGCGTCGCTCGAGACATCCCCAGAAGCTTCGCGCGAACGGGTTCGTGAACCACCTCTGTTCAGACCCCCCGTGGGTTGGCCCCATGTTATGCCGGCTACATCGCGATCGTCATGGGGCCTGAGAAGACACGCGACTATGTTCCAAAACGTATGTCTCGCCTGAAGCATCCCGACAGGATTCGCCCAAACGGGCGTGCCAAACAGCCCGGGCGGATATTCAAGTGGATGGTCCAACTGCCATGCCTGCTACATCGCGGTGCGCGAGACTGAGTGTCAATGAATATGAATAGAGGTCGGTCTGGATGAGTGAGTCTGCGCGTGACTGAGCCCAAGCAGCTGCGTCTGATTCCAAAGAACCTGAATGCGAAGTACGAAAAAACATGTGTAATGGCCGTCGCAACTTAGCCCAGGGTTTCTCCCTCCTCTCTCGATATACATATACAACTGTATGAATGTAGATGTATATGGATGTATGAGTGTGCGCGCATTCAAGTACATCCCGGCCTGCCCCCCTCAAGTACGCAAGGCTTCCTTACATCATTCAGGGTGCGGGAATTTGCTGGCGATGAGGCATCGGGTACACTTTGCGTCGAATATTGTCTACTCTGGCTGGCGCCGCTGGCCGGTCACCCATTCGCAATCGACTGGTCGCCCGTAGGGGGCTATTTGGCACTTTCTGATCCCCCTTCTCGTTGCCGAGCGCCGGAGGGACGGTGGCGCACCGTCCCATTGCCCGCCGCCGCGAACCGCGCGCCTCGGCGGCTGCCCAAGAAGACCTGGTAAGGCAAATCGCGCGCGAGTCACGGGAACGTTTTTGAAAATGCCCGGCCTATTATTTTTTGACAAAAATACCAGGACCGATTTTGGAAATTCCCAAGCCGATTTTGAAGTCCCGGAATCCATTTTGAAAAAATCCGGATTTCAGAATTGTTCAGATGTCCTGCGCGGCGGGCGCATTGCACCCCTCAAAACTGTTTTTTGAAAACTTCTGGGCTTCATGTTGAGAAATTTCAGAACCGCTTGCGCCAAAAAAACGGAAGCGTTTTCTGAAACATTCTAC